GGCAAGCTTTATTTGTTAGATCATAAGCAAAATATCTCCACAATATACTTTTAGGATCTTAAACTGTTAGAACCCCATTAAAGTTCTAAGCAGTGTTGGCACATATATGTCTTAGTCTGGTTCCTCTGCCAACACATGTACTCTGCTCTATCCCCATGTCATTTATAAGCAAAACTCAGTTTCTCTTGGATTTCCACAAGAAATTCAGGAACCCTGAACATTGTGTGGGCTATGAGAAATTGAATAATTAGGGGGGTTGAGAGGGGACTCATATGACACATTACATCACCCTCTCCGTTTGACTGTCTTTACTATACCCCCAGCCTTCCTCTTTGATTTTCCAGTTCCCTCTCAAGAAAACCCACAAGTCTCTCTCACTATTGTCCTCTGAATTCTACACACAAGTGACTTGTGTGCGTGTGCACTCAATATATGCACATATACCAATAGTAGTAAACAAAAATTAAATAAATGGAAGGTACTTCAAGTGGGAGCCCCAACAGATTTATTTCCCTACAAAGAGAAACTCCTATTTGATTTTCTAAGTCTCTCTCAAGAAAAACCTACATATAAAATGATTACTTCCCCTGTCCACAATGATGCCTTTCTCCACAGCTACCCCAAGCTGTCTCTTTGGGAATTTTTGCAATAAAGACAACCCTTTCAGTATTAATCCCAAAGATAATTTTCCAAAAAGACGAAAACTGAAGGAAAAATAAAAACCTTTCCCTTTATCCATCTTGTCTTAAGTTATGCTGCCTAATGACTTCTCACTGAAGACATCCCTATGCAAGGAGACAGAAAGATGTATATATCCCCTTATAATAAACTGGATGAGTTATCAAAAGAAAAAGTATTAAAATGCAATCCTAGCTTTTAATTTTTTATCTGTGAATGTAAATGTAGGTTATAGGTAATGAACCTAGGAAGGGGAGCACAGGGGGAAGGGCTCTGAATCAGACTGGTAAGGGTGATGGAATCCATGTGACATGAGGCAGAAAGGGACTGTTGGGGATGGGAAGACACAGGAGGGAACAGGGAGATGGAGAAGAGAGTGGAGAGGAGGAGGCCTAACAAAACAAGTTACATCTGAAAATACTGCAAGGAAACTGGTTACTTCATTTATTGTTATTATTGTTGCTGTTGCTAAATCAACAACAAAGTAGCAGGTTTCCTTCTAGCATTTTCACACAAACTTAGTTTTCCTTGGTGTCCCCTCCCCCATCTCTCCATCCCCAACCTCCCTCTCTTCTTCCCCCATTTGTACCTTTCTGTCCAAGTACTCTCCTTTGTCGTGAGTGTTCTGCTACACTCCTGGCTCCACTTCCTTAAAGCCTCTTCTCTCTGTGTCTCTCTCTCCCTCTGTCTGTCTCTCTCTGTCTCTGTCTGTCTCTCTCTGTCTCTCTGTCTCTGTCTGTCTCTCTCTCCCTCTCTCTGTCTCTCTGTCTGTCTCTCTGTCTCTGTCTCTCTGTCTCTGTCTCTCTGTCTCTGTCTGTCTCTCTGTCTCTGTCTCTCTGTCTCTCTCTCTGTGTCTCTGTGTCTCTGTCTCTGTCTCTCTCTCTCTCTCTCTCTCTCTCTCTCTCTCTCTCTCTCTCTCTCTCTCTCTCTCTCTCTCTCTCCGTCTGTCTCCTGGACCCTTGCTAGTTCCCTGACCTCTCACTACACTCACACCCACATAACCACACACGTACAAAAGTTAGAAACCAGGAGCTGCCCATAAGGAAATGTAGTATTCATCTTCCTTCCCATTCGTCTTCCTTCATATGCCACTTAAATATAGCCATGAGAAGGGAAAAAGTAGAATTAAATATGTATTTTTAAATGTAAATCAAAAGAAGAATGGAAGCAAAGAAAACGATGGAAAGGACAAAAACAAAACCATGGAGCTGGCACCAGGTGAGCTCACTCGGTGGATAACTGGCTGGCAACACTGCATGACAACCTAACTTCAACCTCCAGAACCCATAGAGGACCCAGCGGAGGAGTAGAATTAACACCTGAAAGTTGTCCTCTGAACTCCACAGGCATGTGATATGTGTGTGCGCACACACACTGAGCATGTATGTGCATACTAATGGTGAAAAACAAAAGAAAGAAACAGAAGATAGTTCAGCTGGGAACCCCAATGCATTTAATTCCTACTTTTTCTATGCTTCATACTCAAGAAAAAGTGCAAGCTTCCACTCCAATGGAACCATGCATTTGGACATAAATATTGTCTTAAGATGAACCAGAGAAGACATTCTTGCTTATGAAAATAATGTCCAAGTCAGGAAGGGTCACCAGGAACGGAGTACTTGGCTTCCCTACACTTCTGTCTCCTATTTCCTGTTTCTAGATTATGTGCAGCATGCTGGGCTATGAGAAGACCCTGATGATCTCTGGCAGCTCAAACACACATCTGCCCACACATCCCCCAGCCGAATGTCACCCACTGCTGCTGCTGTGCTATCGCAAATTAGGGAACCGAAGTGAAAGGATGGCACCGATTTAGGATTAGAAGGACCCTGCAACCTTCTCCAGCCCTCTGGGCATTATGGGAGAGTGACCTGGAAAATCAAATGCAGAGAAGTGTCCTAAAATATAGGACTCTTGTTTGAGGCATACTAGAACCTATTAGCTTGAGAAATTGGTCTGGAAATCTTATTAAAAGAGACAAATCATTCCACATTCTCCTCAGGCTGAAAATATTGGGGGTAATAGACTCTCCCCAGTGCCTCAAATCCGTGCACCTCATGTCAGGATCACAGCCGAACTTGGGCAAGGCTAAATTCAATGCAGGCAATAAAGGCAATTATTTTTTTAAATGGGAAGTTCTGATTAATTCCAGTTTCTCTGGCCAACCATGGACTTATCGGTACCAGTCCCTCATTACCGTGAAGGTTGCAAGGCAGAAGAGCCAGTGGCAAAGAGAAATGAAGTTCAAATTGTGGATTTGTCATTATTGCACAGCTCAGCAGCAGCAGACTGTCCAGCTGAGGAGGCCCTGTGACCAGCCCCGCTTCCCCACCCCCACATTCTCATCTCCTTTCTCAGTATGCCTGATTAACCCCTTGTGGAGAGGCTGGGAAAGCAGAGGACCAATGCCTTATGAAATTCACCTTGTACGTCTTTGCAACTTGAGAGGAGTGATAAGAAAGATCATTCTTTATATCTAAGTGCAGAATGACTCCCGACTTATAACAGGACATTCAGCCTGAGAATCGTGACTTTACAATGTTGTATGAATGGTACAAATTTGATAGAAGCTACATAAATTTTGATTAGCGTGTCTTCCTTGTGTGATATGCAATACTCTCTGGTGATGGTTAGGCAGTGGCAGCAAGCTAGAGATCCCAGACACCTAGCACCCTGCAGAGAAACTACTAATCCTTTAAAATATATAGTACTTCATTGCAAAACTATAATAGTCTGAGAGATCTAAGCACCATATATATATATATATATATATATATACATATATATGCAGTTCTGGTTATTAAACATAGAGCCTCATGCATTCACGGCAAGTGCTCTACCACTGATCTGCATCCCCAGTGAAAAATTCATTTTCTAATTTATGATGCCATCAACCAATGATGCATTTATGTGGATTCAACCTCATCATAAGCAAAGGAATATTTGTATTATAGTAATCATACACTGGCAATAGCTATACAATTGAATTACAAATGCAATAATTACCTGCACTATCAAATAGTATTCATTGCATGGCTGATATAGTTTTAAGTTATTTTATTTTCATGAATTATCTCCTTTATCCCAAAATAACCCTAACAGAGGAAGAGATGGCAAAGATCTGTATGAACAGAAAGAAAATATTGTAGGTTTCTGTTTAAACTACTCAGTTCTGCACCTGCAACACTGTGGCAGCAGTCATAGACAATGCATGCACAGGTGACCCTAACTGTCACCTTCCTGTGTCCCAAATCCAAGACAATGGTTCTAGGCAGTGTCCATCTCAATGCTACTGAGACATCAGGGATTTGAAGGATCACGTGTTGCCTGTCCACAGATACCCACACTAACGTCACCCAAGAAATTAATAGACCAAGCAAAATACCACAGCCACTTTTCTTGATTACAAATAAACAAAAGACCAACTAGGGTCTGAGACCAGGGCTCCACAGTCTCTGCAGTCCTTGATTGGATTGACAGTAGTCTCAAGAAGTATTGTGTAAATATGGTATGTCCAGGTGTATCCTAGCCCATGCTCATAGCTGTGATGATCAAAACTGGCTTTGGACATTAGGAGATGGGGACAAATGACCTCTAGCTGAGAGACACTATCTTAGATGAAGGGGTGACCATCGCTACAGCTATCAGCTTTGTGTGTAGTTCCTAATTCCAAAAATTCTGGGAAGATAGTCAGAAAGCTATCTTGGTACCAAGTAAAAAGTTCTTTCTTATGGTCTGAGGGAGACATAAATGTTCTTTCTTATGGTATGAGGGAGATGTGCTTATCCTCAATTAATACATGAGAGCAGAGGTCTAGGTGACAAAACTCATAAGCATCAGCGCATGGATTTGGAGCTAAAACTGTCAGATGCCAAAATATGTACATTTTAAAACAATTAGTCTGAATATGGCTGTGAACAGTCACTGTAGACTTTTCTGGAATGGGAAACAGTTGCCATAACTGTGATAAACTGAAAACTGGATTGTGCCTGCCCTTTCTTTGGAGCTCCTAAAGCCCTGACAGCAGCACCTATAAATAGATGCTGTTCTCCCATTTCACAGATGAGAAGACTGAGATCCAGCAGAGAAATGATTTGAAGTCAACATAGAAAATATATTTAAGCCTTCCCCATTATTCAAAACTTTAACATTTCAGAACTAAAAAAGCTGGAACTGTACTTCAACAGGAAAGCTACTCGAAGTTTGTTTCCTAAGACTGGACCTTTGTGACCATGTGTCCTGCTCACAAGAAAGCCTCAGCGACAAATAGCACTTATGTGCCCCCTTCTTTTGACTCCTGTGACCTCTTTTGTTTTCTGCAGCTCTGTATGCAGTACTGGCCTGAGAAGACCTCCGGGTGTTATGGTCCCATCCAGGTGGAGTTTGTCTCTGCAGACATCGATGAGGACATCATCCACAGAATCTTCCGGATCTGTAACATGGCTCGGGTGAGTACATGGCTCACCTCAGAGTCGCCATGACTCACTGTTCCCTTCCTTTGCAGAACAGATGGAGGCTGCTGGGAGAAGATCCCACTGAGCCGGCCAAGAGTCTGTTCCTCTCTCCTGATAAGCTCTTCCTTGGATAAGTGATGTCTTTGCTGATTCCGGCTGCAGACCCAGCAATGGCTCTAGCACAGATAGATGCACAGAGCAGCAGCCAGCCTGCCAGCTGCCTGTTTCCTGACACTCTAGAAGCCATGTAGACAAAACTTCCCAGACATTAGGTCTTCCCCACTCTGGCACACCACACTGGGACCCTTCAGTTGGATTTCATGAGCTTTAGAATAGGTCCTACAGACATTGACACGGACAACAATTAATTGCTTTTGAATGGGTAGCTACTGGTTGAATGCAGGAGGGGGCACAATAAAAATCCATAAAATGATGGCTCCCTATTGCTTCTTACTGAGAACCCAGGGAGATAGTACTTACTCTCTGCACTCAGCGTTTACTATCAAATAGAAATGAGATAAGCTCCAACTAAAGACCTTCAGAGAGAAAGAATTCTACTTGAAGCAAAGAAAGGTGTTCCTAAAGAAAGGAACATCTAAATTGAGTTTGAATATTGACAGTTTTCAAGCAGCATACTCGCATACTCGGGGGGGGTGACATTAAATATAAAGACATTCTGTGCCCCTGATGGCACAGCTGAGGCCCCACTCAGCCTGATTGCTACTCTATTATAGTCCCCGAGAAATCTGAAAGGCTTGTATCCTCAGGTATTTCCAGCAGAATAGCCCTAAACAGTGCTTTATTCTCAGCCACAGGATGGTTATCGTATTGTCCAGCACCTCCAGTACATAGGCTGGCCTGCATACCGGGACACACCCCCTTCCAAGCGCTCTCTGCTCAAAGTGGTCCGAAGGCTGGAGAAGTGGCAGGAACAGTATGATGGGAGAGAGGGGCGCACCGTAGTCCACTGCCTGTAAGTACCACAGAGGTGTCTCCAGAGCAATGTGGTGATGGGTGACAGAATATTTGACATTGTTTCTGGTTGCATATGCCAGTCCCAGGAATCACATCAATATCCTTTATAATCCATTGATGATAATTAGAATCTTTTAATGAACTCAGGTGGCAGTTTTCTAAACTATTACCGTATGACCTATTGCTAAAGCAGAACACGATAGGCAGACTACTTCCCAGTGCTCTCCACACAGAAGTGAGTTCCACTCTCAAAAGGGAGGTGTGTGCATCATCCTGCTAGGTATAAGAAAGCTTGGGATAAAGTGGGTACCACTGACCAGAGCCCCCTTGTATTAGTTCCTAAAGGAGAAGAAAAAGGATGGTATTATATTAGCTTAACTTAAGCCAGACATTTAAAATGAATCACTTCATCCCATCTGCAAGGCAGACACTATCACTTTGCAGTAAGTAAACTGAAAGCAGAGATGGGTAAGGGAACAGAGCAAGAGTAACTCAGTTTGAATTCACAAGACTGTGGGCTGATAGACTGTCTGCAGTCCCACACTGTATCTACGAAGAGGGAGGGTGAGGCGCATTCAGGGTGAGGACCTCTTGGACAATATGAGGACAACTTGGACTTACTTGCTGTGTCAGCCTCCTGAGATATCTCTTACCTGGTGCTTAGTAGGGACAAGGACGCAGAGAGTACAGGGGGAAGACACTACTCTAGAAGATGGATTTTCAGGACCCTGGAATATATGTCCTTCTCAAGGTTCAGTGAGGTTAAGACCAGCTACTGGGATGGCCTTTGCTTCCTGGCTTAGGATGGGCACAGCTCAGTAAAAAGGGCCCCAGTGACATTCTGCTAAGCAGAGATCAAGACTAGCGTGCGTGCACATACACACGCACACACACACACACACACACACACACACACACACACAGAGAGAGAGAAAAAAAGCCTTACTATGTTACCTCTGTTTTCCCCATCTGTCCATTTGGGTATGTTGAAGTAGATCATAGTTAGACCCCTTTGTGCTCAAGAATGAAGCATTTAGAAGAAAATACTGTATCTGCCAATCGAAAGATTTTTAAATGCCATTGTAGAAAATATGCAATTTTAGGTATAATTCCTTAAGAGCAAATGGAGTGTACCATAGAGACTGGTTCTATGAAGAGTTCAAAACTATACAGAATCTGTAGCTATAAGAGATTTACATGGATGTTATATATCTATAACTATCAACCTTTTAGAACATCATTTTGGAGGAAAATAACTAAAAGTCCATCCTCTTTTAAAAAATACTGTATTCCAGAAAATCTGAACCACACTTTTCTCTTTTTGTCAGAATAATTATTTATGGTGTGAATGGAGGCATTAATTATCTTTCAACGGCCTCAGAATTGAGTTGTCTTTTCCAAAGCTACTAATTGTTCACTTTCTTTAGATAGGTGGTCCATACATGTCAGGAAGGTCAGAGCTTAGAGCAGGTAAAACTCACACATGCACACTCAGAGCTGAAAAGCCCCCACCTGTAGAAATTTTTCTCTAAGGATACAGATATGAATGAACCCTAGGAAGATCCTGTGTGGTGTGTCTTCTCAGGGTAATGTCATGCTGTCTCTAACAATACCAAAGAAATTAGTGGCTGCTTTCCAACCCTGACTTCCCCCAAGTCCCTTCCCACACATTAGATGTCACACATTAGATTACATGGGACAACATCCATTCCTCACAATTCCATGTGTCCCTGAGATGATGTATCCTCTCAGTCCCTATGTCCTTATTTTAAAAGATACAAATCTACCCCCCTTGCTGGAAAGGTTACCTATACACAATTGTTTTTATTTCCTAGACTCTGGGGACAGGATTGGTTTGTTTGGTTGGGATTTTTTTTTGTTTTCAACCATGCCTTGCCTACCCTAGGTAACCACCACAGGTATGTCATCCTACCAACAGGGATCTGGACATCCTTGGAGTCCCCATGCATCATGACAGTCACTGAAATGCAGGCACCTACTGGTTAAGGGAGAATAATTTTGTATACTTTAGACATCTGGTTGTTAGGTTTCCTATAGGTGAAACATCTGGGAGATTGACTAAGTACCTTCGTTTCTGCCCAGATATTCCTTAGACACAGACCATTACATGAAATCATTAGTTGCCTTTGGCATCTTGCCCAGGAGTTCAGAATCAGGTAGGTTCCTAAAGAGGCTTGTTTCCACAGGGATAATTTATGTATCTTCAGAAAGAAGGAGCAATTGAGGAATGGCCATATGAGAACACTCAGTCCCTATGCTCAAGACCAGTAGGATCCTATTTAAATAAGATTTACAGGGGTGAAGTGTGGAATTGACCTGGTATTTCAGAAACTGAGCCCATGCCCCAGGACCACAGCCCAAAGTCAGGACTAGCTAACCCAAGACTCGTGAATTATTATTGTCTTTGTTAGAAGATGGGGAGAAATAGTAATAATACCTCCTAGTAACTTCCATTGTTTTCTTTGGATGTCTTGTAGACCCCAAGTATCCTTTCAAAAATGGATGTAGGTATCGCATGTACAAAGACAAAATGCCATCCCACCCTGAGAATATAGAACAGTGTGCCTGAAATGATTTTAAATGTTCACAGAGCTAAAGAAACATCAGTCTAACTAAACCCCCAAAGGTCATATAGTTTAAAATCTTTATTAGATAAATGGGGAACTCAGGACACAGACCAAGACATGTCTTTACCAAGGTCAAAGAAGATTCAGAGCCCCAGTAGGATTTAACCCAAATCCCACAACTCAACTAAAGTTTTCATGGTTGCCTGACCATACATCTGCTAGGACAATTACTCCATGCTCCCACAATGCAGCTTTAGGATCAACATGTATTTGATTAGGGGCCCTGGGAATTTAGCTCACCTGTTCACTCTGTGTTTAGAAATGGAGGAGGCCGCAGTGGAACCTTCTGTGCTATCTGCAGTGTGTGTGAGATGATCCAGCAGCAGAATATCATTGACGTGTTCCACATTGTGAAAACACTACGGAACAACAAGTCCAACATGGTGGAGACACTGGTGAGCGTCCAAGAACCATTATCTAAAAAGCAATCCCAGTTCAGCTACTTTGTTTTACTTTCACCTGCTCCATAAAATGTCTCTAATTCAGACTTCAAGGAAGTATTTTGGAATAGTACGTTGTGAATTATGTTTTCAGTTCAACCCAAGCCTGTTCTAATATTTTACAATATGAAGCATTAAGCTAGGGTGCTTTGGAGAAAGGAGCTAGTGGGAAGGTAGAGCCAGATGATAAGACCCAGCACAATGGTAGAGACAACCCATACAAGACACTTGACTATGAGTCTTTAAAACTGCTCCAAGTGTGATGAGATCCTGCATGGAGAGTGGCCCACAGACTGGCGGCAGCAGCATCACCTCTGAAGGCAGAATTTGATCCTCATCCCAAATTGACTGAGTCAGAATTTTCATTTTCAACACATGGCCCTGCATGTTCTGCCTGCAGGTTATAGTTTGAGAAGCCTTGGTGTACAATGTGGTAACTGAAAGGGAATGATCTCAGTTGGGCATTCTGGACAGTGTGAGGAGAAGCATCAGTCAGGATGTGGAAGGATGTCCAGACACGGAATATGTATCATTGCTAACTGATTTTTAGTATGTGTGCAGATAGAGTTTTCTCCAAAATCTAATCTAACGCATTCTCTCCCTTGTCTCCATCTCTCTCTTCATCCTCTCAGGAACAGTATAAATTTGTATATGAGGTGGCACTGGAATATTTAAGCTCCTTTTAGCCCAATTGGATGGGGAACCTGCCAGAGTCCCGAAGCTGTTGCAGCTGACCTTTTTTTTCTGTGACTGACAATGACTGGTTTCAGGAGCTTGGAAGTGGCACACCTGCCCAACTCCAAGAAGAAGACTGGTGGTCTCATGCTCTGCAGTGGGCTCTGCAGCTTCTGGCGGGTCTTCTGTAGCTGTGGGAGATGCTACTCTGATGGGGCCCAAGCGTCCCCTCTACACCTGACAATAACTGGTCTACAGAAGTCTACCCACAAGCAAGGCCCTAGACTTCCAATCCCCAGACCTCTTGCTTTTGTTCTTTCTGAGTTTGTTAACCTCATGGCAAGCTGACTGTGCAGGTGCTGGGGTATAGGGAGCTGGCCAGCCCTTCTTTTCCTGTCCTTAGCAGTACTTGGGGTACACGTTCTTCTCCATGCTTTCTTGCAAAAGATTGTAGTTTGGGGGATCACTGGGTTATTGGTTTCTACAATCTCCTATAGGGGCCTCTGCCATGAAACACATGCCAGTCTGGAAAAGTGTGACTTCTGGATACCCCGCCCTAGACCACAGATGGAGTCCTCCTAACCTGTGCTGGGCCCAACTCATGATGACCATCTCAAGCCAGGACTTGACACTCTATATTCTCCTGGTCAACCAGCTTTCTGCACATCACACCTTGGCAAAGGTTTCCTTTGCTTTTCCATTGTCTATAGGGGAAGAGGAGTCATAGGAAATGTTGCAGTACCTTTTTTCTTTGTAGAAAAAGCCACTGTCCTGGGCAGGGCTCTGGCTGGCCTATATAGTATAACCCTGTGTTTTCTAGGTGCCACTTTCTATGGGAAAGACAAACAAGAAAAGCTTTGATTGTCTCCCAAGTACATGTGAAAAGAAACTCTTACGAAAATATAAAATCCCATATTCTTTTATGTCAAAAAAAGAAAGAAAAGAAAAAGGGTAGGATGGTAGTTTGAATGTGTGGCTATAAGATAAATTTCTTGAGCTTATTATATTTCCTGACTATACCCTTGAAAAGTCCCATTGATAACAAAGACTTTGAACAAATGAGGTGGTGTCCTTGGGATTGGTCCCTTGTTGGGAGGAAAATATAGCAATTGCTTTATAATTTGTCTCTCCAAATCTGAACTCTTTCCTAAAGAAATCCAGCTGCCATTTTAAAAATGGCTACTGTGGCCCCAAGTTGGTTTATAACACATTAGTTTAGGATTGGGGCTCTGAGTCTTGCCCAAGGCATGAATAAATCAAGAAAAGGGAGACATTTGTGAGACACCTCCTGCAAGCAAAGTGCCATGCTTAAATCTCCCATATGACATCTCCTGTAGTCCACAGCACCCCTAGCTGATGGAATTCTGGATTCAAAAAGGCAGGTAATGGCAATGAAACCTCCCTGCCATTTTCTTCATGCTTTCTCAGCCACGTAATTATTTTATGGAAGAAAAACAAGGCTAGGAACTTCTGAGCAGAGAGAGAGCTCCGTGGGTAGAAACTTTAATTCTTTCTTTGCAATATCAGTTCTTCTTGGTAGCCCAAACTTTCAGAAATATTTTATTAACTCATTCGCAGTTCCCCAGGAAAGCTAGTCTTATCTAATTTCTTCATTGCTAAGAAACAATTCTTGTGTTCCCTCGGGCTACAAGAGAGCCAGCCTGGGAATCTCTCTACCCTAGACTGAGCCACAATATTTGACAGCCTTAATAGCCAGGGGTCTAGGAAGGTCTATCTAGCTGCAAAGTATGAGGGACACAGAATCCAATAAGGTACATGTCTTGCCCTTCAGGCCCACTGTATACTAGGGAAGCTGAGCCACATTGTAATAGTGGAACATACAAGCGTCCAATGAGCCTAGACATGAGAGTAACTCACTCTGCCTTGAGCTTCCTAGGCAACATCCATTCCAGCTGGGTCTCAGCAGATAGAAAAGAAAAAGGAAATTCCAGTCAAGGGCCTTAACGTGCACAATGGTAAAGAGAAGGGAGAAAGTATCAGGAGGGACAGATGGTGGGAGGTCAGCCCAGCAAGAATGGAGTAGGACAGGGATAATAGCAGGAAGGTAGCCGGAGCCAGGGAGGAAATAGAAAGGGCATAGTCATTGCTCTGCAGGCAACAAGAAGCTGGCAAAGCTCAACAGTGATGCACTCAGCTTAGTATTGTAGAAGGCTCCTTCTGCACCAGTAGTACAGCCTCTTTTCCTTTCATCAGACACTGTGAAAACATCTCCCTCAGTGTGTGCTTTTAATATGTTACTGTGTGTGTGTGTGTGTGTGTGTGTGTGTGTGTGTTCATTATTTTGTTTCTGGAATAAATATGGAGTGGATCATGAAACTCAGCTCTTGTGTAAAACCCTGGGTCTCCACTCTGCTGTGGAGCAGGGTCAACAACTCTGGCCTCTAAGCCTATGAGGACAGGACATGAAAGGAAAGCAGGGAGCCAGCTTCCATCGGCATGAGCCCAGGAGCTGTATAGAAGTCCAAGAACACCAGACTTGATCAAGGGAGGCTGTCACTTTGGAGGTTCAAAAGAAAACATCTCAAAGCAAAGGCAAGCAAAAGAATCCAATGATTTATTCTTCTCCTTTGATGGGCCTCTTACCAAGTAGATTGGATTACATTCCCAGGCCCCAACTCGTCCTTTTGGCTTCGAATGGCTCTTGTCTCCTATCCCAAATGGACTTCCCTATAAACTGTGTGAGTCTGTAGCATAGACAATCAGCATGTTGCATGCTATGTCCTCAGATCTTGGCCAGTTCCTACAGGGAGAGGGTAGGAAGGGGACTATTCAATAGAAATCCTAGGATTCGTTCTGCTGAGGAAGGGGTGAAAGAGATGACAGATAAAGATGACAGTGGTCTCTAACATTTCAAAGGATGGGAATTTGAAGAGTAACTTCAGGGGAAAGAAATGTGTGAAAATTCAAGACCTGCTGAAGGAACTCACCAAGTGTTAACCCATCCTTATTTTCTCACAATCCAACCACCTTCAAAAAAAAGTGGTCTAAGAGCAGTGCACACAAAAAGAAACTGAGGCACTTGGATAGAAATGGCATTCTTCAGATCCATGTAGAAGACATGCAGAAGGGCTTAGATGAAAAGGAAAATGGTACTAAGGAATATATAAGGTATTTTCCCCAGGAAATCTCCCAAGAAAATCCACCTTCCCAGAGTCTCTTCTCACCCAACTTTACTTAAAGGATGGGCTCATCTTTATCTGAGCAAACAAAGGATGCCCAAGAGAATTCTCACTTAGCTAAGATCTTCCTATTGGAATCTAAATAGAGAGGTGTGAAGTATAAATGAGGCACTGTGAACTGTCCCCATTTGGTTGTGTTTATGACCTGCATGGCTTCAGGTTGGATCACAGATGCATCTCAACATTATGTTCTTTTACCCCTGCTGATTTGATTATCTTGCATGAGGTAGGAGCCTGTCAGCCTCTAAATAGCCACAGCAGACTCCCTTTCATAGGAATGGAAGAGGCCACTTGCTTCAGGTGTTGACCCTTACTGAGACCAGAGCAATCAATGACCACCCAGATGGCACCTACTCGGTGAAACCAGCAGACTCTACTGGTTCCAACATTCCTGAAGTGTCTGTGACTATGGCCATTACCACTTAGCTGGTGAGGAAACAAATCCAGAGGGAGAACTCACTTGCCCATATAATCAAACTTGATGTGGCTTTCTGAACACAGAGACAATATTCTTCCACCATGGTATCTGAGATTTTCCCACATGATTACTCTTAGCAACAGAGACAAGAGTGAAACTAACGACTGGATAGATACTGGTAAAGCCCAGTGCATACAGTGGTCAGCTTCAAATTCCTTTAGAGTCTTGTGTTTTACATTCATAATATATTTGACTGCTAAATATTTCTTTATCTTATGTATCCTAATGGACCTTAGGGAATGACATTTCTGCCCAAGCCATGCTCCTTCCTCCCAAGGTCAATTCTAAAGTCAAATTCACGCCAACTTATACTCCCCTAGGCACATTCGTTGCTATGTAGGTATACTGACTGCACTCCTCCTGAGATTCAGCTAAGGTCTCTTCTTCTTACAGAGGATTCTGCAAGGTACCCCCTGAAAAACTAGAATAACGAGGACTTACTGCATGGCATGGTGACAGTTGAGCCCACAAAACCCTAAAGACAAAAGAGAAGCCAGATCCAGCCTCACTCAGAAGATCTTTGAATGCTGAGCAGTGCCTATGATCTTAGTAGAGTCCTATGGCTTCTGATGTGGGCAAATCTTAGGACACATGTCATATGAACATATGGAATCCTAAACACACTTTACTTAGCTCTATACAATCCTTGGGTTCCTGTAGCATTCAACACTCAGACAAGAACCACTAGGAAGTACAGAACACTACACCATGCTAAGTAGGATAGGAGTTTGCTATTTGGTTTGAACTCCAACTTTACCATTTTGGAACCATAAAATATCAGGCTTAACAATACATGGAAAAAGGAATTTGTACAAAAGTCCTTGGCCAGGTTAAAAGGGGTTAATCTTGAATGCTAGGGCAGAAAATCAGGAAGGCAAATTAAAACTTAATGCCTACTCAGAAGAAGGATGCTTATGAGATGTTGAGCTGGTCATAGATAAAGAAAGCTATCCTCCAATAGTCTATAGCGGGCCATACCTACTAACCAAACAGGGCATCAGCACCAAGCTAGAACAAGTTCCATACTGCAGAAGATATGTCTAGATACAAGGCTATGACATAAGGTCAACAGATTATACTAAGCCAAGATCCCCTAAGAATGAGTCACCAACTCAAACTAATAGACAAGTCAAAAGATAAAACAGAGATAGCAATGTCATCTCAAAGCCCTGACTGCCTTTCCCATTGACTAATCAATGTGAGGCCCTCCTTAGCCTCTTACCAGCTCCAGCTCATAGTCAAGTATAACAGAAAAATGGGGAAAGTAAATTCAAACATAGACCAACTGAGATTCGACCTTGTTTGTATAGGTTCCCTGTGTGAGGTTGTTCCTAGATACATATCAAAATATCAAAAATTATAACATTCAGAGCCTCCCTTTACCTAATATTGGGGCACCTTTGAAATCTTATTCTTTCTGAATGAGAGAGAAAGAGGGAAGGAGCGAGGGATGGAGAAAGAGAGAGATAGAGAGAGACAGACAGAGAGAGAGAGAGAGAGAGAGAGAGAGAAAGAGAGAGAGAGAGAGAAAGTTGGTCGAGAGTGGACAGTGGGGGAGAGAGAGAATGGTTGTAACTTGAGTTTTCTATGACACTTATTTCTGGGTCATGGAGCTCGATCCTCAGAAAACAGCACAAATATCTCTGTCATATCGGTGTATGAGAATAGGCTTTTTCGGTTTCTTGGTAGCCATGAATAAGAAAGACAGACCTTGCACGACAGTGTCTATATAACTATATTATGGAGACAAAGACCATCTCTTGCATATCTCCTGTCAGCTTCCACAAGGGGTGGAAAGACTATCAAAGGGTCACATTCACCCCTAAAATCCATGCATGAATATTAAGTGTCCAATGGTGGGGTCAGTATCCACATTAATAGCCCCTCAAACCTGGCACCACATTACCTAGCATGGACCCACCTAAGATGGTTTGCTGCAGGTGCTACAGAGGACAGGCATGTACTGGGGTGGCAGACAGTCTACTAGAAAGGGCTTTGGAAGGTGGTTAGCCATGAGTCTTCCTTCCGGATCTGAGAGCCTCTGTAGGCGGTAAAATGAAGACTCTGGTTCTTTGTTGGAATGTTCAGAGAATGAAGCCTACAGGCTTTGGAATATGGTCAGCAAAGTAATTGTATGAGATCAGGGCATTAAGGGTACCTAATGTATGTCATGGTGCTTCAGTGAGAATGATTTCTAGGGCCTTGGTGAGCAGATTCATGTTAGATTAGAAAAATGTCAGTCTCCTGAAAGGACAGGCAGGATACCAATGTCCATAATCTTCATAAGACTGCAGATGCTTGGACTGGATGGAGTCAAGCAGAGTTTGACTCATATGCTTACTCATATGAGGGGCGAGAAGATGAGTGAGGAAACAGTACCTGTAAGAAAGAATTTGATGGCTGCCAGAGAGGACAGCTGCCCATTTCAAGCTTCCCAGTGGAAGCCGGACTTCTCCATCTACTGGCTGGAAGTGAAGAAGCAGCACTGCCATGTTGGACTTCGGTCACTTTCACCTTCCATGGGTGAATCCTTGCAGAGAGTTGTGTTTGAAATGTTTCCAGCAAACTTCAAGCTAAGCATTTCATGCTTGGTTTGTGAGGTGCAAGCCCCCTACTTTGCCAACCAAGTCTTCTCCTAATACCAATCAAAAGATAGGTAGAGCTGCATAGCCTAGTCTCATCCGGGATGGTTATCACTAGTCACAGGGAGCAACTCCTTGGTCATATATACACTTGATGCTTACAGCCATCTCTGACAAGGGCAGCCATCACCCAGACTCACTGGCCATAAAGACTCTCAGTGACAGTCAGAACCAATAAAGATCCAAGCAGGAGTCATAAGAAGACTTCATTTCATGCACACTAACTGCAAAGGTTAATTCAGCCCTCACTCCCTATTCAAGGCCTGTGGGAAAGATTTCAAAAGCACAGTAATTCTGTTGACATCCTATTGTAATCATTTCAAGTGCATATATTTTTATTGCTAACCAGATCTTGGGATAGCCCAGGTTAACCCAGATTAACTCATATTTAAAATAAGGCTCAAAATCACATTCTACCTTCTCTTTTCACTCTATATCCTAGTAGCCAACCAAAGGTACAGTCATAGCTTCTATAGTTGTCTTGGCTACTGGATACCAGTACAGCTCTCAAGGGGCAATAATGAGGTCCTTAGTCTACACTAGAGAGGCTGACATTTTTATAGCCATGTGGCATATGATATCACATGAGACCAAAGTCTCCACACTATTTGAAGCCTCCACAAATCCCAGTGGCCTGCACTTGTACAGTTTGGGTGTTTGATAGATAAAGCACGTATGAGAAGAGAAAACAAAATAAATCAACTTCAAAAAAAATTAAAGCCAGCACTGTGCTGTCGATGTTTTTCTTGTTTTTATTTTGCTTTTGCTTTCCAGTTCTAGCTTCAAAAAACAGAAGGTAAATAATGTCAGGTCAATGAATATCAGATATATTTTTTGACTGTACATTAAAGTGATGTGTAATCTTTTTACACCTGCAAGTCCATCTTATTTATTCTTGTAAATGTTCCCTGACAATGTTTGTAATATGGCTGTGTTAAAAAATCTATACAATAAAGCTGTGACCCTGAGATTCATGTTTTCCTAAGATATTCACACTTGTGTCTTCCTGTGAGTGAGGGGAGATGATAAGGGGGCAAACAGAAATGCAAGAATTAAGGATACTGCTATCAGCTAGGTTTATTTTTATTTATTTAATCCTCACAACCATAACACAAGACATACATGTTATTCTCTCTTTGCAGATTAGAAAGTTGAGGCACAGAAATATCAAGGGATATTTTTTTCTGTAACTATACACTGAACTTGTAAAAGGGTTGTGGTTAAGGTGTTTAAGGCAGTGTTTTCTAGAATACTGGCTTTAGAATCAATGGAACATTTGTTAAGCCAGTCTCTGGCTGGGCATTGGTGGTGCACACCTTTAATCCCAGAACTCAGGAGGCAGAGGCAGGTGGATCTCTGTGAGTTCAAAGCCAGCCTGGTCTACAGAGCGAGTGCCAGGATAGGCTCCAAAGCTACACAGAGAAACCCTGTCTCAAAAAAAAACAACAAAAAATCTGTTTCTCTATATGTGCTCTCTCTCTCTCTCTCTCTCTCTCTCTCTCTCTCTCTCTCTCTCTCTCTCTGTGTGTGTGTGTGTGTGTGTGTGTGTGTGTGTGTGTGTGGTCACATGCCAGAGCACACATGCAAAGGTCAGAGAACAACTTCAGATGTCAATCCTCATCTTTACCTTGTTTGAGAGGTGGTCTTTTGTTGTTCACTACTGTTTATGCCAGGATACCTAGCCCAAGAGCTTCCAGAGATTCTCTTGTCTCACCGCTCACTCAGAATCAGCACACTGAGATTGTATATGTGTTATCACTGCATCGGGCTTTATGTGAGTTCTGGGCATCCAGATTGAGGTTCTCACAGTTAATATTGCATGCATATTTTTATTTCTACACACATGCATATACATATACATATTCCTAAATATGACCTCTCAAATCCATATAATGTGACTTGTATGTATGTTTTCAGGGTTGAATGATTTGGCACAGGACAAACTATTAGTTTGCTCTTTCCTGGGGGAGGACATCCATTCTTTAAAATGCTATTGCTATTGCTATTGCTATTGCTATTGCTATTGCTATTGCTATTGCTATTGCTATTGTTATTGCTATTAGATTGAAGAGGAGCCCAGGAGGAAAGGGGACACTCCAACAAAAAACAGTAGGCTGCTTACATAGGAGTTCAATGTATATTCTCTACATTTTCTAGCAGAGCAGCAAAACAAATAAGATCCCCCTCTTTGGAGTTTACTGAGTCCCAATTTCTTTAGCTGTATCCAGACATAAGTGTGACCTAAAAATACAAGCCACAGAGCCCATGGTTCATCTGGTTCTCCTTCAACCTTGGCAATGTGGCAGAGCTGTAGTACCAAAAGACACTCCACTAAAGCTTCAGGACTAAAAGAAAATGCTTCTCAGCTTGACCCTGACTGGGAAACCTGGTGTCCTGCCAGCTAGTTATCCTTGCCACTATGTCCTTGGTCATGTTAATCTCACTTATTCTGCCTGCTATAATTATTCTTTTGGGGTCAAAAATATAATAGATGACACTGAGAAAAGAAAATTACAAGGATGAAAAATTATACATAATATATAATAGCAAAGATACTTTAGGACATAATAACTTTCTTTCCAAAGAGCTAATATCTTTGAAAGTTCTTTTTGTAAAAATCATACATACTCACTTGCCAGAACTAAATACACATAAATGAAGGCATAAGGCAAAGTTACCATTTAAAAGTATTTGTTATTGTTTTGTCATTCCAGATCCTTCTCTGCACAAACACACTTTTATGTAATTTTCGATGTACTTGACATCAAGCCATATATTCAGGGACCCTTTTCTCTTCTTACTTAACAGCAAAGTGTGTCCATCTTTTGATGCACACACATGCTCATATCTTTTTGTCTTCCCTGACATCTTCACAGTACTCTTGAACTAGAGGCGAAGCTAACTTGGGTATAATGAGACCAGACATTCCCATCATGCCACTCGGGAAGCCATTCCAGCTGTGGGGCCAATGTTAACACTGAAGAACACTCCCCTATCTACTTTAGCCGTGAAGAGAGACAGACAGTAGTGGCATATCTTTCTTCATGTGTCTCTTTGCTGAACCTTCTAAATCAGTGGTTCTCAGCCTGTGGCTTACAATCCCTTTGAGGTCACATATCAGATATCCTGTGTATTAGATATTTACATTACAATTCATAACTAACAAAATTACAGTTATGAAGTAGCAACAAAAATAATTTTATGGTTGGGGTCACCACAACATGAAGAACTGTGTTAAAGAGTTACAGCATTAGGAAGGTTGGGAACCACCATTCTAAAGGTTCCCCAGTCTTCAAAATAACTCCACAAGCTGAGGACCAGTCACTCAAAATAAGAGCCCATGGAGAATATTCCATATTTGGACCATGCACATATACAGATAGTTAGAATAATATCAAGAGAAGTGGAGATGCATAGATAGAGACAAGAAATAAGTATATAATCCATTAAAAACTATCAAAGGCATCTTTCATCATGGGAAACAAAGAGCAATTCTTATTTATAAATTTCTAAATTTTATGTTCGTTTCATATTCAGGAAAGCAAATTATGTAAGAAGTGGAGAGAACAAAACATAATAAAGTGAAGGTAGAATAGATAAGATGATAAAAAATAGGTGGCAATCCCAAAAGACCTGCTATACATACACCTTGCAAGGTAGAGGCAAAAATTTCTTATTTCCATCCAAAACAAGAAGAATTAGTCAAACAATGTCCAAATGAGGAAATCAAGCCAGTTGCTCAGCATAAATAAAAGCAATGAAAGCATTCTTGCTACGGAGTCAAGATAAAAAGATTTTTGTCAGAAACTTCCTTAACAAATAATAGTTTCTACAACAGCCTTTAGCAGGCAACAATGCTCTCCCATTCTCTGCAGGCTGGTGGCCTCATTCCATTGAACAATTCCAAGGAAGCTCTTAACTGAAGGACCAAAATGAAGGGGCCCAGCTACTCGTTTCTTGGCAAGTCAGTACTAAACATGGCGTCGGCTTACAGAATCTTGAGTATTATGCTCTCTGAGCATCACAGTGCTCTTCTCTCTCTGAGTGTCCATGAGCTAGATGGAGGCTTTTATCCCAGACAATTACCAGGAAAGTAGCTATTCTGAGCTGTTGGGTAAATTTGGAACCTGGCTTTAAGAGCCAGCAGGAGGCTTACTAACTCCTTGTGAATGGTAAGGAGTCTAACAGCCAGATGTGTGCGCATTGGAAGCAAAAACACCAACACTTCTCTATGAAGGTGAGGCAGAAAGGGACATGCAGCCTCGTTTGAGGTCATAATGAGGACGGGCTCCATCTTATCTTACTTCCCCTCAAATATGTAGTCCAAACTACAAACCTATGACCACACCTGACAACCATAGCATTGTGGAAACCAAGAGGAATTTCCCTCTGATTGTAAGAGCCTCAAATGATAATCATAATGAGGTGTTAGTGCTGAATCAAGCTTTGCTACCTAAAAGAGGCAAGAGAAATGCAAAGAAGATGCAGTGTTTCATCCCTCCCAGGTGTATGTTCCAGATGCTCCCTGCTCACTCAAAAACTTGATCAATCCTCCATTTCTTTTTTCTGAGAGGAAAGGATGACATTAGGAAAAAGAGTGGAAGGCAGAAACTTATAGCAATGCATCTGAGGGTTTCAGCTTCCATGTTTCCTTTCTATTCGGAGTACCACAGAGAGAAGTGGGATGCCAGTTGAATGTGTGTGTTCTAGACAACATACAGGAAGGCAAACACCTTACTACTTTGTAGTTCTTCAAGTTCTCTCAAGCTCTACTCTTAACCATGACTGTGGTGAGCATTTCCAAGCAGGCTTTTCAGGCTTTCTTCAGTAGAAATCTACTATGGTTTCCTTGACTTGGTTCTATAAGTCTTGCTTCCTTCCCCACCATGATCCAGTGCTCTCAGACACCAGAGACATACGCTTATCACTAATATGCTATCCAGACGTATGAGGAGTTAATGTCCCATATTATCTCTCTCTTCCTCTGTCTTAACCCTCTCTAGCCTCCTTAATACTGAAACTATATTTCGAAATATTAATACACTTTGTCTTGGGCTTTGCTTTTAGGGAAATACCATCTGGGAAAATAGATTCAAGCAATGCACAATCTCCCATTCTCAGCTGATAATCTGCCAACACCCATGGAGGGCTGCCAAGTGTTCAGTTAAGCTTTTAATCAAGGGACAAAATGGACTTCATGTTAGTGTAAAGCTACTCAACTGGAAGAGGTTTTACACAGTCCCAGGTTTATACTGTATATTGCACAGTTGATTGCTTCTCATATTTGGGCAAAGAAACTCTACCATCCTACTATTTTACTGTAAAGACCTTTCCAGTAGAGAGCAAAAGATAGTAATAGGGTTCTTTATAGGAACCCACATTTTGTAAGGCATAGTACAATATCTCATGGGGGTGAGTGGGCAATGTCAGGATCGAGAATCCTTGCAGGAATCTGCAGCCATACTTATGCCCAGCCTCCTCCAAAAGGACACAGCTCATGACAAAGCATGGGGGAGGGAGGAGCCAGCTTACAATGGAAGACATTATGTGAAGGTGTAAGTGATGACATAGAGTTTCCACACAACACTATATGTGAATATACACTATCTTAGCGTGTGTGAAGTCCAGGAGCCAGTTCTCCATACCACCTCTACTAAGCCCCGTGCCTTTTCTGAGCTGGCACAGAAAAGATAATAACAAATCTCAAATCCCCATTCTCTTTCCTTCTGGTTTCTACATGATACTCTCCAACAGCTCTGAACTCTAAGCAGGCTTGGTAGTCTGCCTGTAATTGTGGACCAACAGGAAAGCATCCCCAGACACATGAGAAGATGCAGGAGTTCAAAAGCAGAGGCTCACTTGGAGGAATCGGTGTGAGTATCTGACCATGAAATCAAATCCCTGACAAGAAAGGACAGATGCAAAAGACACCAGATTTGATGACTGAATCTAAGAACATTTTTGTTAT